AAAATTGTCAGTTTCTTTAAAAAGGTGCATATGAATTTATATGACTCAGCAATTACATTCCTATGTATCGATCTACCCAACCCAACATAATGAAACTTTCTCACGTAAAGATTTGACCATGAAGGTTTACAGCAGTTTTAGTCAAAAAGCCAAAAACCCAAAAACAATACACAACATAAGAGACCATCAACCAATGAATGGATGAACTAATTCAGTTATTTCTCTTGTATATATGTTTTTTAGTGACATTTAGAATTACTCAGCCATAAAAAATAAAATACTAATATAAGAGCAATCTATTTTAATCTCAAAAATTATCCTGGGTAGGGAGCATTTGAGACCTTGCTTCCCAGAAATTGTCACCACTTTTGGCGCAAATAAACTCTTATAGAAATTTAAAAAAAAATTATCATGGGTGTATTAAATGTGATACCAAAAAAAATGCATACTGTAGGACTCCATTTATATGACGTTTTTGGACAGACTACATTCATTTATCATCGCTGAAATAAGAACTCAAGTTGCGTGGAGCACGAGTTGGAAAGAACATGCTTGCATGATGGAAATATTAATCAAGTTGTACACCTAAAGTACATTCAATTATGAGTTTATGTACTCCCAAAAATAAATAAATCCAAGCAAACTGAAGAGAAAAGACTCAAGGGGTTTATATATCTCTGTCTTTAGAATTCTATGTTTATGCTTAAACTTTAAATACAACTTAATAAAGGTAAAACAGTCGTGTTTTCAAGTGTTTTAAATGAAAATCAAATTATGTAAAAAGTCATATAAAATGGGAAGGAAAAGTATTATTAATCCCATTTCACAAACAAGTGACTAGGATTCAAAAGGGTAGTTTTCTTTTGCAAGACACATGGATAGTGAGTTGTAGCAAATAATCTAGAGTTACATACATGTTAGGTAGGAAACTATTTTATCTAAAAACAAATAAGAACAAAAAGCTCTGTTTAAGTGTATCACTTCAATTTATCAGAACTCCTAAATATTTACTAGACATAAATTTAATGTAGATTTACCTTTTAATTAAATGATTTTAAAGTTTACAGTTCAAAGGCCAAAGTCATATTAATAAACAAAAGTAAACAAATGGTATACCATGGAATTATCACTATGTACACCATTTAAGGCATATGCAGTATTTTAACAAAATGGATGTCTTCAAAATTATGCCTGATGGGTTATTGTGAGTATCTGCTTATAGCGCATGTTATATCATAAAATTTTTATTTTGCCCATAAATTCTGTTTGGGGTCTTAAATGCTATCAACAGTCATTGCTACATCAGAGGACTCAACAAATTATTTTGTACCAAAAGGGGCAGGTGACACTAACCCAAACACAACTATATACCATGTTCTCTAAATAACCTCCTATGCAGTAAAGTCTTAGCAATAATGAAAATCTAGATATCTTGGAGCAATTTTCTTTTCTTTCTTTCTTCTTTTTGTGGGGGGGAGGGCAATTTTCTACCATCTGACTTTTTCTGCCTTTGGGGAAAAAAGGGAAATAATGAAAAAGAGAAAAGAAGCTTCTGACATTCAGGTGAAGTTCTGGTACTAACAGCCAGGTCTTGGAATTGAAAAAAGCTGACTTGTACTTCAGCTAGATCTTGTTGTTTACCTATTGAACATAAGCAATTTCAAGAACATCGCCTTTAGGTATAGTCACTCTGTGGATCAAGAAAAAAAACAAATCCACACCATAAACCATGTCTGAACATAGGGAGACAAGGCATAAACATTGTCCAAGCAACAAAATTACTAAACATCCCTCTCATCCAGCTAATATAAGCAACTGTTTTATTACTAATTACAGCTTTAGTTTCATTATAGTCTTTTTACTTCATATCTAAGCTTTATTAAGATAGCCAATCACAGAATTACCTTCACTTTCTGAAAACATCCAATTTAAAGCAAAGATCCACTTCCTGAAACCCTACTGAAAATCACTTAACACAAGCCCAACTCCTATAATAAGTCTCTAAATCTCTAGAACTAAGATGTCCAACAGTTCCCCATAGTGTGAAGTCTCACTGACTGCAAAATATAAGAAACCCAACTTGTTCAACTACAGGTGTGTTCCTGATGGTCTTTGGCTGAATGGCATTGACACAGACCTTGATCTAAAAATCATTTCTACTGTTAAGGAGCGAGTTGAACTGGATTCCAGTAAGGGTAGAATTCTAATCTTAAACACACACACACACACACACACACACACACACACACACACACACACACACACTGAAGGCATTGGAATGTAACCAGATAAGGAAGAATTCTTTGATTACTGAGCCTTAAGAATGGAAACTGTACATGAGATATTTTGGATTGTGGTTTTTAAAAAAAATTCATGAAAACATATTCAATCTTCTTAGCTTGGATAATCAAAGTGCAGAATAGAAGATGGGCCTAATAGTCAATTTGATGACTGGAAATTAAGAGGGACTGAGCACTAAATTATGCACATAAACTTCACCCTAAATCCTGGCTGACCACTGAACTAATTCTGTATAGTAAAAAAACTCCAGAGAGTTCATAAAAAGCATTTGAGGGGGCAAAAAGAAATGAACACTGTTTTCAGCTGCTGCTCACAGAATCACTTATAGTATGAGTCCAGCTATGTCAAATCCCTTCCATATCAAAATTCTATAGCCTTTTTTTTAAATTAAAATTTATTGGGGTGACAATGGTTAGTTTGAAAAGCATACATGAATGCAAAGCTTCCATTGTATATTAGTCATAGTATCCAATACAAAGTCAAAAATGCTAGGCATATAAAAAATTAAAATAAGACATAGTCAAGGAGCAAATAAATCACTAGATTTATATCAAAATGACCTAGGTACTGCAATTAGCAGAGAAGTACTTTATAGCAGCTTATATAAAAACTATCAGTGATTTAAAGGAAAATACAGTCATAACATCTAGAAGGTTTACTTTAGGCAATAAACAAGGTGTGATCAAACAGTGAATGTTTAAATGAAAAAATTTTATTATAGTAATACACATTGCCAGTATTTCCCCTCAAAATAATTTCCCTGTTACAAACACACTCATCCCATCATTCTTGCCACTTTCTGAAGCAGTTCTGAAAGTGCTCATTAGTGAGTGTCTTTAGTTGCACTGTCATGACTGCCTCGATGTCCTGAATCGATTCAAAATGTTTACCTTTCATGGTCATTTTGACTTTGGGGAAGTCACACAGTGCCAGATCCAGTAAATAAGGTGGATGAGGACACACCATAATGTTTTTGTATAACAGAAATTGCTGTACCGGAAGTGATGTGTGACATGGAGCATTGTCATGATGGAGGATGATTTACAGCACACTTTAAAACACACCTTCTCTCAACCGTAGTTCACAACTGACTGACTGCACCAAATAAGTTGAAACTTGTCACACACACTGTTGTTAAGGTTCAACGTGCTGCTTCCTGTATTGAAGATCCCTGCTTTTTCATTGGATGGCACTTGGCAGCAGCATTCACCATATGTCCGGATCACAATAGAAAGGCTCCATGTCATCCATTGCTTCTGGAATGGCAATTTCTATCGAATAAAAACATTATGGTATGTCCTCATCCACCTTTGCTGGATCTGGCTCTTCTCCACAATCAAAATGACTATGAAAGGTAAACATTTTGAATCCTTTCAGGACCCTGAGGCAGTTATGACAGTGCAAATAAAGACATTCACTGAAGAGGCTTTCCAGAACTGCTTCAGAAAGTGGCAAGAACGATGGGATGAGTGTGTTTGAGGGGGGGTTGGGAAGGTATTTTGAGAGGAATTAATCGCAATGTGTTTTTTGCTTTAATAAATTATTTTTCATTCAAACATTCACTGTATTTTTTTTATCACACCTAGTATGCTTTAGCAATTGTAAAACAAAGTTCTGTGTATTCTCGGTTTGAGTATATGAGGAAGCAACTTATAAATGTACTAAGATGTATTTTGTGGTATGCATACTATGTGTCAGTCTCATTCTAGCGCTTTTCATAAAGTATCTATATTTCACACTGGTACCAGACCTATGATGTTAGTGGAATTGATATTAATAGTTTATATATCAGAAAAGTGGAATATATGTTCAAGGTCATACAAGTAGGTAAGCAGTGTAGTTAGAATTTGAAACCATGATATCTGGCTATAGAGTACACATTCTTAAACATAGTGCTTTACTTTACTTTCTAGGTAGTAAAAAATCATGTATTTTTATTCCATAACTATAAGAATAGTCATCCTTTGTAAAATTAAAGTGACAGCATGCAAAACAAAAATAATCAGTCTTTCTAATAGATAACTAATGTACCTACATGTAAATCTCAGTGGGAAGGTAATGAGGGTAAATTGGATATAGAAAGTACAGACATTTTGTATTTCAGGTATTTATAATTGTATTAAATATAGTCTTATTTCATGGCCAGGTGAAATTTTAATTACATATAAACTTATCTGGTAATATTTTCAAATTTAAGGCAATAAATAGAGTTTCTCAGATTTTATAAAGCATACTTAGGGTTACACTTTATGTATCCTGAAGAATCTATGCCACAGTTCCCAGATTGATCAGTCATAGAATTAAGGTGATCAAAACACTCTTGAGGACCAATAAGTGTACCTGAAAAACAAAAGTTTGGTTAGTCATATTGAACTTTCATTAATTTGAAATAATAAATGAATACATTTAAAATTCTAAAATGGTTTAAAACATACTGCACAAAATAAGATTATAATATAAAATTGAAAATAAAAACTAGGTTTTTAGTTCACTCATGTGCAATATAAAACTGAAAGCAACAAACGAATAAGACAAACAAGCAAAAACTCATAGACACAGGCAATAGTTTAGAGGGAGGAGAACTAGAAGAGGGTAAAAGGGGTCAAATATATGGTGACAGAAAAAAATTTGACTTTGGTTGGTGAACACACAACGCAATATATAGATGATGTATTATAGAATTGTACACTTGAAACCTATATAATTTTATTAACCAATGTCACCCAATAAATTTAATAAAGAAAAAAGATCACACATAACCACTTTAATGAGATCTCTAGACATTGAATACACTCTTGTTTATGATCCAAAAATATATCTTAGATTTAAACGTGGTATGCAGTTTGTTTTCTAATTTTAGTAAGTCTAGAAATACACATCTATAAGCATATAAGAAACTTAAAAAATAATCGACTTACTGGTCAATAATCTGTGTTTGTATAAATGTGTTTTCAAGTCAAACCACTCAACTAATATCTTGTTTTTTATCATAATTTCCTCAGACCAAAAAAACTTGGAGCCACAATTGATTCATTTTCACATTCACTACCCAATTTATGCACATAATGTGTATAATTCTCATTTTATAGTCAAGTGATTTTTCAGTAGAGGTGCCAAGTCAGTTGAATGCAGGGATAATCATCTTTTCAACAGTGATGCTGACACAACTGAATATCCATATGCTAAAGATTTAAGTTGGAAACACTTCTCACACCATACACAAAAACTAATTCAAACTGGATTAGAGATTCAAATTTAAGAGTGAGAGCTATAATATTCCTGGAAGAAAACAAATCAATAAATCAGGACCTTGAATTAGGCCATGCTTACTTAGATATGACACCAAAATCACAAGCACAAAAGAAAAGATAAATTGAACTTATTTAAAATTAAAACTGTGCTTCAAAGAAGGCCATCACGAAAGTGATGAGATAATCTACAAAATGGGAGAAAATATTTGCAAAACACGAATTTGACAATAAACTTGAATCCAGAATATATAAAGAACTGTTACAACTCAGTAAGACAACTCAATTAAAAAATAGGTAAAGGATTTGAATAGACATTTCTCCAAGGAAGACATACAAATGGCCAGTAAGCACATAAAAAGATGCTAATCATTAGTTATTAGCTAAACTCCAATCAAAACCATAACAAGGTACTGTTACTGGACTCAGGTCTAGTGCCATTTTTCACCTGGGGCCCAAGAACTCTAGTGACAAGGGTTGGTGAGGAGAAAAGCATTCTTTATTCTAGATTCTGCCAGCTAGGGAAGATGGCAGATTAATTAATGCCCAGAAAAAAACCACCTTCCCCGAACTGAGAATAATCAAGAGGTTTTATAGTCAGGTAGGCTGGTGGGGGAGAGAACAAAGAAAAATGAGAGTTGGTGGTTTAAGCTTCAGGAAATTGCTTCCCATGGCCTGGTCTGCTTCATAACATTATCTAGAACTCAGAAGCCATGGCTGGAGTGTTTAATATGTCATCAGCAAAAACTGCAAGGGAGTTGCAACCATGGATTTTGGTGTCCAGGCATCTGAGAATTGAGAAATTGCTCTTTTCAGATTAATTCTCTGCTGATGAATTACATCAACAAAGTATACATGTATAGTCTTAAGAAAGGGAACCAAGCAGAGTCACTAAATCATGCAGTGAAGTGAAAAAACAAAGAGAAAACAGCTAAATAGCAAGCTATGAGGTGAATCAGGCTATGAGCTGACTGAGCTAAGTCTAAGTCATTAATTCTCTGAGTTTCACCCTTACAATACCACTTCACATCCATTAGGTCATCCACAGAATAACTCACTATTACAAGGATAGCAATTCAACTAAAATTTACATATGAATTAATTTGTTAATCTGGTTCTTAGATTCATAGGCAAGAGCAGCAAGCCAAGTCAAGACATATAAAGAAGACAATAAAAGCTAAGATGACTTGTCTTTGAGAAATTAATATAATTGTAAAGGCAGAGAAATTAAATAGTGTAGGACTGGCATAAGTATAGAAAAATGACCAAGAGAACGGAAGAGAAAATTGAGAAACATTCCCACATTTAGTTTAAAAACAACCAACCAAACTCTTAATATATAGCATATATGCCATTGCAGGCCATTCAAGAGTATCAAGTGACGATGTTGAGCAGGGTATCTCCCCAAAAAATCTGAAAACATTTATCTGTAAAGTTATATGTGTTCCAATGTTCATTGAAGCTTTATTTATGGTGGCCAAGACATGGAAACAACCAGTGTCCTTTGATAGATAATTGAATAAAGAAGATGTGGTATATATACACAATGGAATACTATTCTGCCATCAGAAAGGATGAAATAGTGCCATTTGTGACAACATGGATGGATCTTGAGATTATAATGCTAAGCGAAATAAGTCAGACAGAAAAAGTCGAGAACCATATGAGTTCACTGATATGCGGTATATAAAACTGAAAACAGCAAAGGAACAAGACAATCAAACAAGCAAAAACTCATAGACACAGACAATAGTCTAGTGGTCACCAGAGGGTAAGGCAGGAGGTGGGTGGTAGATGAGGGTAAAAGGGATCAAATATATGGTGATGGAAGAATTGACTTTGAGTGGTGAACACACAATGTAATATATAGATGATGTATTACAGAATTGTACATTTGAAACCTATGTAACTTTACTAACAATTGTCACCCCAATAAACTTTTATTTTAAAAAAAGAGCATCAAGTTATGACAGTATGTGGTTATCAATATGCTGTTAATATTAAATTGGATATATGTGAAACAACACACATACACAGACACATACAAATGCATTCCTTCCCCCTTTCCCTCCCCTAGCCTTAGGCAACCATTAATCTACTTTCTGTCTCTATATATTTTCCTATTCTGTACACTTCATATAAATGAAATCATAAAATATGTATGTGGTCCTTTGTGATTGGCTTCCTTAGCTTAGCATAATGTTTTCAAAATTCACCTACATTTAGCAAATATCGGCACTTTGTTAATTTGTATTGTCTAATAATATTCCATATCTTTTTTACTCTTTCCTCAGTTGATGGACATTTGGGTTATTTCTACATTTAGTCTATTATGAATAATGGTGCTATGAACATCTATATACAAGGTTTTGTGGAAACATATGTTTTCAGTTCTCTTAGGTATATACCAGGGATGAAATTGCTATGCTCAACATTTTAAGGAACTGCCAAATTGTTTTCTAAAGCCACTACAACCATTTTATATTCCTACCAGCAATGCACAAAAGTGCTGATTTTGCCACATTCTCACTAACGCTATTTTCTGTCCTTTTAAATTATAGCCATCCTAGTGAATGTGAAGAAGTTATCTTGCTGTGGTTTGATTTGCATTTCCTTAATGACTGATGTTGATCGTCTTTCATGTGATTAGCCATTTCTATGCCTTTTTTTAAGAAGTGTCTATTCAAAATACTTGCTTACTTTAAAAATTGGGTTATTTGTCTTTTTATTGTTGAGTTGAATGAATTCTTCATGTATTTTGTACATGAGTCTACTATTGGAAATATGATTTGCAAATACATTCTCCCATTCCTTGAGTCGTCTTTTCACTTTCTTGATAATATCCTTTGAGGAACAAAACTTTTTAAAATTTTGATGAAGTCCAATTTATGCATTTTTATTTTGTCACTTGTGTTTTGGGTGTCACATCTAAGAAATGTTGCCTTTTCCAAGATCACTAAGATTTATGCCTTTTTTCCTTTAAAAGTTTTATGGGTTTTGCTTTACATTTAGGTCTATGATACATTTTAAGTAAATTCTTGTGTTTGGTATGAGGTAGGGATTTAAACCCATTCTTTTGCATGTGAATGTATAGTTGTTCAAGCACATTTGTTGAAAAGACTTCAATGGTATTTTTGCGCATTATAGACTTCTAGGTGAGCACTTTCTTTTAGCCTTTAAGATGTGACTTTTCTTTGCCTTCTGGTATCTATAATTGTTGAGAAATGAGAAATCTAACTCACTCTTGCTCTTTTAAAGATATTGTGTCTCCTATATTTTTGTTCCCCTCTTTTATTTTCTAGCAGTTTTGTTGTGATGTCTTTTTTTAAATTTTTTATTAAATTTATTGGGGAGACATTGGTGAGTAAAATTATATAGGCTTTAAGTGTACAATTCTATAATACATCATCTATACATTGCATTGTGTTTGCCACCCAATGTAAAATCTTCTTCCATCACTATATATTTGACCTCCTTTATCCTTAAGATTTTTAGAGCATCTTGAATTTGAAGGTTGACCTGTTTTATTTTTAAAATTATTTTTAAAATTATTGGTTTTTATCTCTTTAAATATTGCTTCTGTCTATTCTCTATCTTATCTTTTTAATGACTCCTTTTCCTGAGGTTGGCAGATTGGGTGAGGCAGCGATAACACAGATCCAATCAGGCAATTATGCCAGTGCTGAAGTACAGTTTCATTCTGTATTTTCCTCATTATCTTGGGTGTGACCCTTGCAAGCTTCTGATAGAGAGCCTTGCAAGTATTTATCTTTTCGTCATTGAAAGTTGGCCAGGGATAAATATGTCCCCTTTAGAGAGTCTTAGAACAGCTTCCTAGTCTATGAAGTCTGACAATTATAAGTTCACTAACTTGCCACCATGAGCTTACATTGGCAGCACTATACAAACAGCTCGGTAAGGTTTCATAACCTTGGTATTATCAGTGTCTCACAGCTGCGTTTGTGTCAACCTGTGGTAGTGTCTTGCTGAGTGGCATTCAATATTGTTGTGTGTTTTTGTGTGCCATCGTGAGAATGTCTGAGCTTGAATTAGAACAACGAACAAACATTAAATTTATTGTTAAACTTGGCAAGAGTGGAAGTGAAATCAGGCACATGTTAGTCCAAGTTTATGGGGATAATGTCATGAAGAAAACGGCAGGGTACAAATGGATTAAATGTTTTTTGAGGGGAGAGAACGTGTCTGATGAAGAGAGGTCAGGGCGGCCATTAACAGCGAGAACTGATGAAAACATTGCAAAAATTTATTGAATCGTGTGTCAAAATCATCGGCTTACTATGAGAAGCATAGCAGACCAAGTAAACATCGATAGAGAACAGTTAAGAAAATCTTAACTGAAAATTTTGGCATGAGAAAGGCGTGTGCAAAAATGGCCCCTAAGGAACTCTTGCATCACAGCAATGCACCAGCTCACATGGCACTGTCTGTGAGGAAGTTTTAGCCAGTAACAAATAAATGTATTGGAACACCCTCCCTACTCACCTGATCTGGCCCCCAATGACTTCTTTCTTTACTTAAAGTTACAGGAAATATTGAAAGGAAAACATTTTGATAACATTCAGGACATCAAGGGTAATACAATGACAGCTCCGATAGTCATTCCAGAAAAAGAGTTCCAAAATTGCTTTGAAGGGTGGAATAGGTGCTGGTGTTGGTGCATAGCTTCCCATGGGGAGTACTTCGAAGGTGACCATAGTGATATTCAGCAATGAGGTATGTAGCACTTTTTCTAGGATGAGTTTGCGAACTTAAATGTCAGACCTCTTACTAACACAGTCATTTCAAAATGTAGCAAAAGCTTTTAGAAGTTAACATTTTCTTGGTAGGATTTCTTCACCTTTTGGTCTTTTATCATCTTGTAACTTCAGGGAAATTTATAATCTCTTTTTAATATTTTTGACTTAATTGACCAAGTTCCTGAGCAGTTTCAGTGCTCCAGAATGCCTCATTGGAAAAAATGGTCTATGGTTTTGAGAGCCCCCCTTCAATTCCAACTGCTAAAACTTTTCTATTTTATCTTTGTTTTCTAGTAGAAGATCTTTACTTTCAGAATTTGAAAATGTTCTTATGAACATAAATGGTTGACAGTTGTCTCCTAAGATATGGGAAGCTTCTCTCCTGTGGAAATTTAAACCAGTCTGTCTTTGGTTTCACTGTACTCTAATGCCTTAAAAAATATCAATGAAGTATATCTTGATTTTTTAGTAATTTTCTTATAGTTGGATCTGTCACTACTTGATACACCCTTTCCTTAAATTTAATATTTAATACAGGTTTTATGTTTGATGTGATTGCTAAATATTTATATGTAAATAAACTGTCTTACTATTTGTTTTCCTATTCTGTAGTCTCTGTTTTACTCTTGGCTTGAGAGTTAATCAAATATTTTCATTGCTGTTTTTTCCCCCTTTATTAGTTTTTAGTTTCACATTATTGTTCTTGTAGTTATCCTAGATTATAAAATGAACACTTGTCTTACACCAATTTTTAATTTCTTTCTGTGCTGCATTTTATTGGGATAATAAATGTTGTTGTTTTTTCTGGTGAAACTTTTTGTTTTTGTTCTAGAGGTTAACATATTTCTAACATATTAATAGCTTAAGTTCATACTATTCTTTACCTTTTAAAATTATATATATATATATATATATATATTTAGCTTTTATATTTTAAAAGATATGTATATTGATCAGCAATGACTTCTACTAATTTCTGTGATCATCATTCTTCTTGTTTAATTCTACTTTCTCCTGGTTTAGTCTCCTTTACATGGGATATCATTCACAACCAAGTACACAGAGATGAATTTGGAAAGCAAATTATCTGAGTTCAAATGCTTTAGTATACTTCCTCCCGCCCCCACTTTTTTTGTATGTTTTTTTAGCATAGGGGCGAATTTCTCAACTCTATCTGCCAGCTTAAACAGAAGTTCTGCCTTTTTGGTGATTTAACCAATGTGTTCATTTGTTTTTAAACTTTAACCAGTATATGTTTCAATTAATGATCTTCTTTCACCCCTTTCCATAGATAGATAGATAGATAGATACATAGATAGATAGATGATAGATAGATAAATAAATTCATCTATATCTCTCTCTCTTCAAAATTTTCTCACAGTGATGCCAAATCACCTGCTATCTTGGGAGAGCACTTTTTCATCCTATAAGTTTCTTTCCTTGTGTTTTTGTGTTGCCTGTCTTCAAATCAATATTCATTCTGATTGTATGTTCATTTATGGAGTTGATAATTACTTTGCAACTCCTTTTTACACAGAAATTAGAGTTGGCATTGTTACTTGTTTCAGTTGAGGGGCAGTTTGATCCATCTGGCTATTTCTATAAATATCCTAAATCTTTCCTCTGTCAATTGGTCTTGTGGTTGCTGCTGTTTCCATCTTCTTCAGCAAATGATTCCATATATATTTTGTACTATGGTTTTCCTTTTTGTTTTTAACCTCAGTAAACATAATTTTTCAATGATTTCATCAATTCTGGATTTTCTGGAATCCTCTGGGATTTTTTATGAGTCATCCTTGTAGTTTCCTGGTGTGAATGTGTTCATCTGTCACTGTGTGTCTGCATGTGTAGTTTAAATTGTATTGATAAATCAACTTATATTTATGATCCTTTTAATGTCCATAAACATATATATTTATTGTATATTTACTAAGAAAACTGTGACTATGGAGTGAGAGAAGGAAGTGTAGCTTGTGGTCAGTCTGCCTTTTTCCTTCTTGCATGCAGATCCCAGAGACTTTGAATCTTTCCCTTTATTATTTTGTGGAAATAATTCTAGATTTTAATCCCAGACAACTTGTATGATTTTTTTTCCTTAAAGTATTCCTCTTCTTTTTCTGTAATCCTTGAAAATTATATTATTTTTTAAAATCACAATTATATATCAACATCTATTTCTTTTTGGTTTCCAGAAAAATGCATATATGGGAAATCAAATTATAATAAATACCTTCACCAAATGTTTCCACACATTGTTTTGTTCCGCTTATACATACTCCATCCAGACAGAGCCATTGATTCTTTCTACATGGGTAACCATTATGAACAAAAAAGTCATCCTGACATGATGCAGATGATCCATTGCAATATTCAGGGAGATCACATTCATCAAGGGAAACCCTGCATTCTTGTCCTTTTGCCTTATACTGATGGGGTGAGGTAAATGACATTGAATAAAGCAGAATGTGAATACATACATATTATAAAGAATAACTTTACTTATGTAGGTAATATTGAAATTTTAAGAATACTCTTACAAGACAATTTTCACAGCATGCTCCATTATCACAATTGTAACCGGGTTTTATTGTACATGAGGCGGCCTCACAGCATGTGTTTTGCTGAGCATCACATTGCTGAAAGGGAAATCGAATGCTCTTAAGTATCTTTCAACTTTTGTTTACATTGGACATGTATTTTAATGATGACAACATTTAAATATAGTACATATATGTGTTGTTTATATTATAGATAGATGCTTAACTTATATGTTAACAAACAGAAAAAATAAACCAACTTATTCATTCATATATTTAACAGAAATGTATTAGTTACCTACAATGTGCTAGACTGTGTTTTTTACATCCCTAGAGTAGATTTGATACATTGGTGATAGGATTTTCTAAAGTCCTGGAATCCACCAAAGCTGACCTCGAGAGCTCTGGTACTTGTAGACAGAGGTAGTTAAATATAAGACATGAAATAAAAGTTAAGAGCTAACAATTTCAATATAGTAATTACTCATAATAATTACTCAGTTCTTACCCATCCTATGAGTCTACTGTATTTTAATAAGTCTGTAATTTTATGAGATAGTCAAAGTTTACTTTTAATTCTCTAAAGATGAAGAGCTAGAAAATGATGTTTCTTAGCATGACAGAAATTATCGCCTTTATTTCACTCATCCATATTTTATGATTCCTTGCTTTATGCTATTGGGTTGTAGGAAAAGTCATGACGCAGTTTTGCAACGAAAAACAGAAAAAAATACATCATGACTTTTCCGCCAACCCAATATAATTCATTTATGCCCAGTGATTCTGTTTTTAAAATTCTACTATGAGGCTTAATAAAAGCGACAGATAAGAAAGGAGAAGGCTGGAGAGATGATGAATTCATGCATATGCAAGATGAAGAATTCATGCATATGCGTGCACACACACACACACACACACACACACACACACACACACACACTTTTTAAATTCCCAGGAATTTGAAATAGGGTTGATTGGGCCAAAAATTTCAATAAGTTATACAAAAATAAATCAAGAATTTCTATAGTCTTAATATGAGTTATAGCATGGTACTTACTAGGGCACACTAAATTTGCAGTCTTTTCCAGCACTGCTGTGCTTAATCTATGTCATTACTATTGTTATCTACATGGCACTATCTATATCTATATGTTAATCCGGAGGGTTAAGTTATATAACAGTGAATTGAGACTCAATTACATGACATTTACTAGAGCTAAGATACACTATTGTCAATTTTTATTAGAAAATTTCCATATTTGTTTCCATTCAGACCTAAACAAGCAAAAACATGTGGGTACTGGGTAATAATTTCTTATAAAAAAAACACATCACCCAAGTATATAAAAACACACTTTTCATGTTGGGGAGGGTATACATGAATGACTTTACTACTGCAGTGGGAAACACTGAACTCCTTTCATGTCTTCTTGATTCTCTCAGGTCCATACCATTCACTCTGATGAGCCTCACAATCTCTCTCTCCCTCATTGCATTCCTTTTATCTCTGTTCTTTCCACCTCTGTCTGATCCAGCAGCTTTTTCTAATATTTCTGTGGGTTCAAAAACTGACTTTTGGGCCAGTTGAGTGGCGCGTTGGTTAAGAACTGGCTTGGGACTCCAGAGGGCCCCAGTTCGGATCCCACATATGAGGGCCAGTGACACTGCCCTCTATAGCTAAGATGCTGAACAACAGCTCAACCTGGAGCTGGGCTGCCATGAGTCGCCAGCGACGGCGTAGGCTGCAGCCCCTGCTGCAGTGGGTTGCCATAAGCTACCGTGTGTAGCCGGCAGCCAGCATGAGCAGCCAGCAGCTGCCGTGAGCGGCCGTCCAGAGGCAGGCTACTAATCTAACTTGCCCGGGAAGAGCGCAATGATGGTGCCAGCTTGGGCCAGTGAAGCAACATCCTCCACAACTAGACTAAAGAACAAAACAACAGCAACTTGTCTGTTCCCCTTCACCTGATTCCCCAGCACTGTTCCCCTCCCCCAATTCCCCAATAAAATCTTAAAAAAAAAACAAAAAACAAAAAAAACTGATTTTTATGGATTATGTAATGTCCAAAATCCTTTTGACTTAAATATTGACCCGGATTAAAATATTCAAAGCCAGAAGTATGCCTCCTATGTTTTCTTAGGCAATGGTAAAAGTTTATATCTATCTTTCTGCATGGCAGAGGATTAGGTTAACAGGAAATACTAGGGAAGAATACACTCACAAGGGCGAATTTAAACCTAGGTCAACTTAGCTATACGATTAATGACTTTGAAAATCACTTGTATGGATAATCTACAAACCACTGAATCTATATACCAATATATTAGTGCACTCATTAGTTTATAATAACCTCTATATATCTTCTTAAGGTCATTGTGAAGAAGCAAGTTTGATAAATGATGGAAAATGGCAGTGTAACATTACAAAAACTAATAATTTTTGATGCAATTACAGTATATATGCTTCCAAATGAGTACCAACCTCCTTAGTGCCACAGTCACATTGTTCTCCTTCTTCCATTTTTCCATTACCACAAACTGCAGCTTTATATGATGGATCTAAATGTGGCTGGTTTTGAAGACATTGGGATTGTGGCTTTGAAATAAAATTTGCAAAATCTTCCATGCTGCAGTTACTAAAGATCTTCACACCACTGGAATGACTAAAAATACATCAAACTTCAAATTTGTATGTAAGCTTTGCTTCCATAAACTCCTAGCCTTGTAATAAAACTATTTAATAGCATTCCACAACAGACAAAACGCTCAATTTTGTTAATGTCAAACTTTCACTGTCTGTGCATAAGTCAATGGTGCAAGGATTTACATATTTTCAGTAGAGATAAATAATCAATACAATTGTATCGGTTCTTATATTACAATTATTTGTGACATCAATTTCTCTTGTAGCACCTACCTCACAGAGTGGTCCATCTGTTTTATTTGTTGCTTCCTTTTCCTTTCATGGCTTCTAAATGTTATAATGCCCTTGTACTGATAAAAGAGATTAGGCTTTTCCCTTTATATTTACTCATAGATAATCTTATCCAGTTCTAGGTTTTAAATAACACTAGTACCTCACAACTCAAATATTAGTTTTTCTAACTCAAACCTATTACCTAAACTCCAGAGTCCAATATCCAAATCTTTATTCAGTGTTTACACAAACAGAGAAAACACTTCTAAGCACACAGTTAGCATACTACTACTACCCTTACTACTCTTTACTCCCTTAGACATTTATTTTTCTTCAAAATATTTATCAACAACTGAAATATTATTGATTGATTGATTGATTGATTGATCATTTTGTCCTACTAGTTTTTTTAGCTCTAGGAGAAAAGGTATTCTGACTGTTTTGTTTACTAGCACAGAGTTAAGAATTCAATGATTATTTTTTAAAAAGGAACAAATGCATGGTTAAAACTATCTCTTGTATAGTAGATTTTTTTGGTTGCTGCTTCATTATAATTTTTATTATTCTGAATAGTGTTACTCTGAATAGTAATAATAGTATTATTCTGAATCCTATCATCCTGAATAGGTAAAAATTATAATGACGAGGGTCTATAATTTGATGGCAGATATTGATAATGTGAAGTTATTGTATTTTGAATCCATAGACTCAAACCCTAGTCACTCAGATTATTACAGAAAAATGCTATTCACTTGAGGACTAGGAACAAATTAAGGAGTTTTGAACAAACTGCTAATTTTGGTATTTTTTGTTGTTGTCACATCCTGGTTGAACATACCCTTCAGTTATATTAACCATAACTAATGGATTTATTATTACATTGCCAACAATTCAAATAATTTTTACCTAAATGCCAAAAACCAAAAAGAGAAAAATGTATAGAACTTTAACGTTACTGAGAACAAGGCAACGCAAGATATGCTTGCTCTGTGTGAACTGGTCCATGGAGGATACACTTTCTGGTAATGAAATTAATGGTGTCATTAGAAAGAAAATATTAACCATAATTATGTCCATTTGGATAATTTAATTGCAGCTTGAATCTTTGCACAGATTTGCTGGATATTCCCATTTCCCATTCTCTCATTTTTTTCTTGATAATAGAGTCTCTGATTTTCAGTTCAATACGTAACTACTTTGTATACTGCCTACATTTTTTTTTAGCTTTTAGTGAAGTTAGAATGGGCATATGTAAAGGTCAGATAATTGGCTTAAAATGAAGCCATCAATTTAAGTTATAGAAAATAACGTTGACAGCTATGCTTTTATGTCCCCCTTTATTCTACTGATAATTATAAATTTGGTTAATTATTGTAGTGAAAGCTTCTGATACGAGCTATGAGTTGATCTTGGGAATGGAAGCCACTGGTAGAAATCAATGTAAAATTATACTGTGAAATGCTACACAATTCATATAATGCTAGTTTTTCAAAGTAAAAATAAACTTCTCTTTGGTTTTAGCCATTATTACTTTGGGTTTTCTGTAACTTCCAGCCAAGTCTAAGTACAAATTCTGTCTCGATAAATACAGATCTCAGTCAGGGTATGGCCCTTTTAGTCACATTTCAAACATGTATTTACTCACTACAAAATTGCAAAGCATTGACAATAGAGTACAATGCTCTCGTTACAATGAGATAGAGAATGATGTTTAGAATGGAACACCTTTCCCTAACCCATAAGCAAAACATGTGTCCCATGTTTTGAATTTTTAGAAGAAGCAACACTATTAGAAATAAAATGAATAAAACCTGTATTCAAATATAACTTTAAAGAAATTATTACACGCATCTGAATTACTAACTAAAAGCAGAAAAATAACACCTCAACACATACTCTTACTTTTACTGTGACGTATGTACAGCATGGAGAGAATCAAGAAAAAATGTAAAACAAAAGATTTAAAAATACTATTATTAAATAAGTCTCAATCAACTTCAAAATTATATAAATGTCTAACCACTATGCTATATACCTGAAACTATTGTAAAATAATATTGAGCGTCAGTGGTATTTGAAACATAAAAATAAAAAGTAAAGTGAGGAATTTCAATATAAAAAAAAAGAAGAGAAAAATGGTTTTCCTACATACCTGACTGTTTTGTCCTAATTCTGTAAAATCTCATAGTGTACTCTAAGAATAATGATGATAATACCAAATTCACTAAGTTTTTAAGGCATGATAAGGACACAGCAAAAGACTTTCCTTAATGACAAAGAGAAAGCTGAATAACAGTATCTATGAAATCAATAGATGCCAAGACCTCAGGTTGAGCTAGAGCAGAAAGGAGATTCATGCAGACAAGGCCACACTATTACAATAAATCATTCTTGTAGCCTGTATTTAGCTTATCTCATAAAGCCTTAAGTTATAAAATGCAAGTACGCATAGTGATAGATGTAGGGTTAAATCACATACGACAAAGCAAGTGTGGCATTAGATTAGGAGATACTGAGATAGATATGCAGCATGGGCATTGGATTATGTATTTTGATCTGGGGATCATTGGTCACAGCTTGTATTTGATCATTATTATTTCAACAGCTTAAACTTTCTTTAAATACACCAAACTTATTTACATATAAACTGTATATGTACGTAAAGCATATAAAATTAAAGTCTCTTACATTGCTTCTGGGTTCATCATGCAGACAGCTGCTGGGCACTGGCATTTGTTAATATCATCATAGGTTATTCCCATACTAAGGCTCAGTAATTGAGCTATAATAACTGCAAGTGATTCCAGACTTATGGTTCTGGGATGCTGGGGGAAAAAAATACATGTTCCCATTCACAGTTTAGGAGATATTAGAATTCATTTATTGGGAGGATAATGTAATTATTAAAAATACTGACATAATAAAATGGAACAAAGGTTTCTAATATGTTAGCCACAGGACTGCCATCCATGTTGGCCTAATATGTTACAGGTATCACTATCAATATAAGAAAAATATGAATAGTGAAATCTGAAATTTTACCAAAATCCAAATATATGGCTCATTTGGTGGCATCAGAAGAAGAAAAAAATTTTCCTAGTAACTTAATTATGCATAACAGTAATTATAGCCATATTTGTACTCACAAAATAAATTTTTTAGATACACACATATAGTGTTAAATTATTAACAAGTTGTGTTCAATTATAATTTGATTATTTAGAGCTGATATTTTATATGAATGTTCCATTCCTTTTTAAAAGAACCACAAATTAATCCATTGAATTAATTTACATTTTGGTAATAATGACTGATAATTAGAATGTTGACTTTCTACAGTTTTTTAAATTTTATTTTCAAAACTAAAATGCCTTTATCATTTTCTTTTTTATAAATGTAAGATGCTTATTATAGCACATTTTCACCATACTAAAACATAAGTAGTTTAAGAAAAACCCACAAATCACAGTACCTCTTAAAATATATATAATAACATTTTTGTGACTGTATTTAAGATAGGTTTCTGGGAATATATTTTGGCATCCTCCATTTGCTTCTTCAAATCAACTTTCCGTCATTTTCTAGTCTGCTTTCTAGCCCAGAAGGATGACCAATGGAGTATGTCAAAAGATTCTTTTGTCCTCTCTTTTACTTTGATTGGGTCAAATGGTGAGGAAAGGGTGAGAAAAGAGCAAAGTATTGATTACCAGGGCATCTATGATTGCCTGAATCCTTGAGTGGAGGTCTCTACCTTCTGTCTGTGACCCTAATAGAATGACATTGTCCTTTCCTTCAAGCCTGGGTAGCAAATTAAATATCTTTATTACTAGCCCTGAGATACTGCAAAGTCCCTACATCTTTCATGCACATTGATAAATGGTCCCTTTATCAAATGACCACAGTTGAATGTACCATCCATTTTCAGAGAGAGGGAGGGAGAGGAAAAGAAGAAGAAGACAAAGAAGGAGGTGGAAGAGGAGAAAGTGGAGGAGAAATGGGGGAGGGGAGAAGGTGGGGGAGAGTGGAAGAGGAAGGGGAGGAGAGAATGTTTGATTCTGTGGACTAGAAAATGAAGGATTCTGCTAAATTTCAATAATATAAATAATAAGATATAATAAATAATAATATCATAAATAATAAGATATATTATTAGTGTAATTATTTTAGATTTTCTTGTTTCCAGGATATTGTAGAAAAGTCCTGGCACCCATTCAATAAATGTAGCTTTATAATTGTTGCTCTTTCTCTGTCTCCTGTTCCCTGTTATCTATTATAGCTTAGTAAGATGCAAATAACAACATCCAAAAACTTTCACCAGCACTCCCATGCGCAATCTTTCCTTTATTTTCTATCTTCTTACTAGTGCATATATTCTAGTCTTTCCTTTCATTGTGTGATGGGATCAAAGATATGGTTTTGTATTTGAGATGACATCTCACAGTTCTGGAGATTAAAAGTGTGAGATCAAGGCAAGAGCACAGTTGGTTTCTGGTAAGGTCTCTCTTCCTGACTTATAGAAGGCTAACTTTTCACAATGTCCTCACATAGCCTTCTTCAGTGTATGCACAGAGGCAGATATCTCTGTTGTCTTTTCCTCTTTTTATAAGGACATCCATCCTATTGGATTAGAGGCCCACTCTTATAACCTCTTTGTGGTCAACATACAGTTTTTGAGATGCATCAATGTTGACTGTAATAGTTTTTTTTTTAATGTTTTTTATTGCTTAAAGTATGTGAATATACCACACATTAACTATTTCAGGGATAAGAGAACTCAGTATTATTACGACATCAATGTCTCCCAAATTGGCCTTAAAATGAAATTCAAAACCAATAAAAAAACCAAGAAGTTTTTGTTTAAGTTGTCAAGCTGATTTTAAAATGGAAATGCAGAGTACTTAGAATACCTAAATCAGCCTAAAGAAATAAAGATAGGGTTTATACTACAATTTCTGATGATTTATTATAAAACTATAGTTATTATTAAGACAGCGTGTTGGTGGTGGAAGGACAGACTATACCAATGGTCATAAATGACTCTAGAAAGAGACTAGAAATATGATGTCCTGATTAATACAACAAAGGCACCACTCAGAGATTAGGTAGGGAGGGTGGTGGGTGTTCAACATCAGAAGGCAGAGCTTCAACTGTTGCCTTCAACATCTTACTCCCGGGCACATTGACTGCTGCTGATTTTTCCAGTGAAAGGACAGGCAATGATTATCCCAATGAAATGTGGAGAATAAGAAAGAAGAATATTAGGGTGCTCTTCACTGTTCACTCCTCTCACTACAGAGAGCACAGCCCTGTGCCCATGAACCACATACTTTCCAGTAAATGATGGCATTTACTTCTTCTTGGTAGCTAGCCTGGGTATAAAGAGAATGAGTTCTGCCCTCCTTTTTGTTAATCAGTGAAGGTCCTGCTTCACGTGAGGGTCTTATGGTTTTTCAGCATTGTAGGTGACTCGGTAAATCAGCCAAATTCCAGCTTTTGAGATTATAGGTGATGACTTGCCTATAAATAAACATAAGCCACATTTTTCAAACTCTGATGTATGAATTTTAAAGTTGAAATTTGTGTCTCCATTTGATTGATTCATCTTTTTATATCTTCACTTAGCTTCACTTAACTTGTTCCCTGAAATAAGAGTATTATGCATTGTTTCCCACAAATTCGGGCAGACACTGTACACACACACACACACACACACACACACACACACATGCGCAAGCTCTGTATGTCAGAAAATCTATAGCATTATGAAAGAGGGGCAAAAACATATCAATTTTAAATACACCAAAATTTTTTACTAAGATAAATAATGCCAATTAGGGCATTCGATTCTGTAATTCTTCACCTGTGCCCCACGAAACAATTTAAAGGAATTGATAAATAGTTTCAAGTTTAATTTTAATATGTTTCATATTTATGTTAGCTTCATAATTAAAAAAATGTTTAAAATCTAACTTGAAATTAAAATCAATTAATGATTAAATATTGAGCACACGAAAATTCATGAGCGTTTTAAAGACCACTACCATAACTTTCTAAAAAGGATACTTTGAATTCATGAGAGGAAAATGGGAAAAACTTCAATGAGGACTTGTTATAGTTCAAACATTTCTCTCAGCAGCAGGGACAAAGATCTCTAGATTCATTATGCAAATTTTAACATACCTTGACATAATCAAATGAGGAAATATTTAACTACATATGATCTAAATAGCATTCTATTTATACATCTTAGTCAAACAAATTAAACCATACCAACCAGAGCAATACTTCCTCCATATTGGCTATGGCACATCTTCCCTTGAAAGGTTGCACCAACATAATTTGATTTTTCTCTGTAACTTAAGTTTTAAAAAAGATCATAATCATATAATTTTGTAAAACTAAACACAATTAATATTAAACTTGTCTAATACAATTTTTGTTTTGCATATTTATATAATAAATTCATAGATATTTCCATGTAACAACTAACAAAGCATAGGAAGTGACTAAATGTGTCTGCCTCTCTGGAAAACAATAAAATAGATTTAAAAATCAAACAATATGAAGTGTATTCTCATATGCAATTCAAAAACATAATGAAGATTTTGTTATAAGGAGGTCAAATATATGGTGATGGAAGGAGAACTGACTCTGGGTGGTGAACACACAATGCACTATATAGACGATGATGTATGAGTTTTATAGAATTGTACACTTGAAACCTATGCAACTTTACCAACCAATGTAACCCCAATAAATTTAATAAAAAATAAGGAATAAAAATTAAAATAATTCCTAAAATATCAAAATAATAAAAATAAATGGAATTTCTTAAAATTAGAAAGATAAGGCAATTCAGTTGTTAAATAGGTAGACTCACTTTATGGACTGAAGTTTCCTCTTAATGAGACAGAATTAACTTGCCAGAATCATGCAAATGTATAAAATATTTGTGAGACATGAAATACTTTAAAAGATTATGATGTTTAATTATATGTATGATTTTACATAATACAATAATATGTATATTGATTCTGAACATTAATAAAAGAAAAACAAAGAGCTTATTAAATATAAAGGGAGGCTTATATTATGTAAAATGCAGCACAGTGTGAATGTGGTATGTTGGAGATGTTTAAATATACTATAGTGCTTTCATTTTCTTGTTATTTTTGCTTTTATTTTATGGAAATAAAGCATATGTTCATAGAATTCAGGTACATTTCTTCAGATATATATTATTAATATTTCATGTATAGTTAGGGCCACTTAATGATATGTTATACAGGGTAAGCTGAGAAGGAGTATGGTAACAAGGTTGAAGGAGTGATTTTTAACTACAAATAATAAATAGAATTAATAATAAAATAATTAATAAAATAATTCAGCTATAAGACCTGTGTTGTGAAAAATAATCTTCACATGAAGTTGTATGTAAGAAAAATGACACAAGATTTTTTTCTCTAAATGCCTATCAACTGTTAGAAATTATGTCAAATATGGATTTGTTATCTTTATGTAAGATTTAGTAACACTAAAATATGCTTACACAAGTAAAAATGCCACATCATGCGGACGCAAAACAAGATAAGATCTTTTCCATTTTATAAACCTGTGTAATAATTCATTAGCATCTCCAGTTACAGAAATTTTATTTTCATCTATCCAAAGCTCCAATGAAGATAGAATTATTGTAATATTAAATGAAGTAAAAATCTAAAACAGAACACATAAAGAAAATATATTCAAATATTATGGTCTAAATAGATTTGGAAATTAAGTGTGAAAATAAACACTATACTAATGACAAATACTAAACAACTGAACTGTAAGTCTGGATTGAATCTTACAAAGTAAATAATACATACTAATGAAACAAGTAATAATTAACATTTTGAAATACTTATATTTAAATGAGCCCCATGTCAAGTGCTTTATTTGATTTAATACTTACAATAACCGAATTAGATATATACAATTATTATTATTGCTATTGAACAGTTAGAAAACTGAAACCTAAAATGGTTATAATTTTCCCTATTCATACAAGATGTGTATTAAGGCAGTGTAATAAAAGAAAATATTGGAATTTTTAAAGTAACACAAGCAAATGCAAAAGTACTAAAAAGTAAACACTTACAGCATTAGTCAATCCAATTAACTGGAAAATTTTCTGAGCGACAATAGCCGTATCAGAACCCATATGATTATACTGAAAAAGATAATCACACCTTTTAGATCTAACTATATATTGTTTAACATTTAGTGATTGCTATTTTGTTTACATTTTAATAATTTAAGTTAAAATGTTTAAATTACTAATCAGTTTTAAACATTAAATATTATAGAAATAATATGACATTTTCAGTGTGAGAAATGGGATATATAAAAAAATACAAAAAGACATGATGAACTCTCAAAAATAGAAGAGGAAGGAACACTGCCAAACTCATTTTACAAGGCCAGCATTACCCTGATACCTAAATCAGACAAGGACACCACACACACACACACACACACACACACACACACAATATATATATATATATATATATATATATATATACACACATATATATATATACACACATATATATATATACACACATATCTCAAACCAAGATCTCTGACGAACATAGATGCAAAAAAATCCTCAAC